CATCATAGTCTGTGCCATGTGAGGATCTAGACCTATCTTCGGATGGGGGTGTGATGCCAGAAGGATTCATGCCTGAGCCGCACGGATGCGATAGCTTTTCCTGCACACGCGAACCAAGTCAGTGCGCCAAAGGCAGCACTCTCCAAGGCCGGTGATTTGTGCCTGGTGGGATTATGAGATGTGCACTTACGGCTACACTCAAAACAGATTATTGAATGATGCAGCAACACACTCAGTCACACGAGGATTGATATACCTCACTAATTGATAATGGGGAATCTCCTTTGAACCTAAACTTTTGATTGCAAATTGGATGCAAATGTGAAGGCTCACCAATGCAGTTGTGTGCAATTGGAAATGTGTGACTTCGTGTGTCTTTGCGCCACAGCTCTTCGGGGCGCCAACGGCTGCCCCCTGCACAGGTTGGGAAACTATCCTATGTGCGCCAACGGCTGCACCCCTGTCGTGAGCACCAGGTGATTTGCTACCTGCGAACCTCCTCAAGGAGCTCTGCGGCAGTAATTGCACGGGCAGGCTGAATGGTCGCTCGGTCGGTTTGATCCAACCTCTGCTCAATAGCAAGCAACGCGTCCAGAGTCCCTTGCACCCCCTGGTTGGGGTACGCCCGGAAATTGTCGTCCACAAGGATGTGTGTTGCCCAGCCGTGCAACAGGTTTGCTTTGCCAGCAACGCCAACCCTGGAGCGCGTGAACTGCGTTGTACCCACGTAGATGCCCCTGTAAGCCAAGTGTATCCTTGCTGTGGCGATCTCCGGCGCCGTAGTTCGTTCGCGCTCCACCCCACAATAGCTGCAAATAATCCAGTTGAACGGACCGTGGGCTGTCTGTAGACGAATCAATCCGTCCACGATCTGTGGGTGAAGCCTTCCCCCAGAGCGGATGTTCACGTCGAGCACCCTGTGCCAATCCAGGACGACGTTGAGCGTCTTCCGGTCCGCAAGGGTTGTCCGAGGTGGGGGATCTGGGATCTCGTGGCTTTGTCGCCTTGGTGGAGGAGGCTTCGGTGGCTCTCGCTGTGGCGGTTGCCGCCAAGGTGGGTCTGGAGCGCCAAAGGCTGCTCCCTGCCCTTTTGATGGCGTCCTCAACGATGCCGGCGGCTGCTTGAACCTGATGTGTGGGCCACGGCTGTTTGCAGGGACAGAAGCCTTTCTGGCTGGCGTTGCCGCTAAGCGTGGGGGCGAAGAAGACCTTGCTTTGCTTGGAACACGCCCGTGACTGCTTGCCAAAAATGCTGCAACTGTTCCCCGCGCCGCTGGCCGCGGCCCGCGCTTTACTGTGGCTTTCGTAGCAGGGGCCGAAGGTGAGGCCGGCACTGTAGTTCTATGAAACGGTGCTTCGTATACCCCACCCGCCCGGAATGCTGCTCTGCCTGAAAGCAAATCTTCTGTGTTGTGCACCGTGTCCCCGTCTGAGTAGTCTGCCAGGTGGTAGACCTCCGCGTTCCCGTAGTTTGGGGTCGAGGAACTAGACCTTTCCCCGGGGCGGAGCCACACGTCCGTTGGCAGTTTGTGAGGATCACTGAACTGCGGTAGACGTGAGCGGGCTCGGCCTGCAAATGCCCGTGGAGCGTCAGGGATCCCTCTGCAGTGTCCACGTGCCGGTCCGGTCGATGCGGACCGTCGGATAGGCCGAGCTCCTTGGCGCCAGCACGATCGGCCTGTCGGTTGGCGAGGTCCTTGATGGCACACTCCTCGATCTGCCACGCGAGGATCGACTAATCGTCGGGCGAGGAGTTCTGCGGGAAGGCTCCCGACTGCTCGACTCGCCTGCCGCGCCGAGGGCTGCGGCCTCCTGGGTCGGTGTCGGAGTTCTTGACCGAGAGCGAGACCTAAGCACGATGGGAACTTGGGAATAGACTGCTCGCAGAACTTGCCTTGACACTGACCGTGTGGAGGTCGTAGATGTTCTTGTCCTCGGAGCTGTACCAGTCACCGCGCCTTGGGCTGCGGTCCTCGCTGTAGGCAAAGCCGGAGCAGACAACCAAGCCTCAGCAGGTGAAGCCTGCTGGGCCAAGGAAGGCTGCGCCGCCTGCTGCTGCTGCGGTGGTGTAGAGGGAGTCGGAGATGAGGGAGTGGCAGGCACTGGATTTGCACCTGCCGCGCCAGTGGCTGCGGCCCTCCGTTCTTCTTCGCGGATTGCCCGGATGCGAAGGGCCGCAGGCTGATGCCAACCTGTGAAGCTCCTCCCAACGCTGTTCTGTGACGTCCCGGTTCCAGGCCTGAAGGGCAGCAAGCTGCACCTCTGATCCCTGTTCCCACTGCAACTTGGGTGGTGTAAACCCAAAACGCTGCTGGACCTCGTCGATCACGTCCTCCTGGAGCTCCCACCACACTCGCTTCTTGTTTGCGGCTCCTCCACGGGTACCACGTTTGTGATACTCTTCCTCGACGGCCATGCGCGCCCCCTTATGGGGGAACCGCTGAGGGTTAATCCCGAAAGAATGGCTATACGGCTGATAACCAATAAAAAGAGCAAGAAACCCCAAACGCGCGCCGAAGGCTGCGCCCCGAACAAAAAGAGGTGGGTTGACCGTGGTTAATCCCTCAGCGGTTCAGCGGGTTGTTCCTAAACTCTAGTTCCGCACTCAGCGCTCTTTTTCTTGTCGAGCGCTTGAGCCAAACGGCGTTTGCCGTTTGACAAGTCTGTCATGTCATGCAACCCTCAACCTAAACCAAAGTGGCCTCATGCAAACCTCACACCAGTGAGCACACAACTAGGGGTCGCTATTTCTTGACTTTATTTGCCTCTACGTGTTTCCTTCGCACGGTCTAGTCTCCTGTTTGCATGCCTAGTTTGCATGCCTTGACGCGCTCACGGATTCTCTTTTCCTCACTCGC